TTTTTTTTTTTTTCCTTTTTTGCTTGAGCAGAAACTTAGAAAATGTTAGTTTCTTATTTTTTAAAATTATCCATATGAACAACAAAATGTATGTAATTTTTAACATATTAGGATTGTCTCTATAATTGTTTGTTGTCATATTGTTTAAGGACTTAAAAAAAATTTGTTATTTTCTGTTCCTATATTGAATAACAAATTGTAATAACTATATATTTAAATTTTTTTTCTTCCCATTCAACAATAAAAGTAATAGTAAATTTGTAACAAATTAATCATAATAATGTGAAAGACATCTTATCTTATCTTCGTCGAAGAAATCTTTTAAACTTTTCTTTCTAATTTAAATAATTATTCTATAAAAATTAAATGGAAATATTTATTCTATTCTATTATGTAATCTAACTTAATTACTCTGTTTTTATATTTTATTGACTGTTAATTTTTTTGTTAAAAGTATTTTTCGTCATCTTTCAATGACGAATGAAAATCCGAATAAAATAATTACTATATTATTTAAATACAGAGAAGAAGGTAGGAATATAAAATAGAAATTTAGAAATATAATTTTAATCTATATATAGCAATGAAATTTTTAATAACAGTTAAAAATTTAAAATGAAGATCAAAACAATAATTATTCTTTTATTAATGTTATTCCATTTTAGCATATATATTGAATTTTGTCTAACTTATTTTCCAATTTTCAGAAAAGATATATTATTTAAAAGATATATTGTACAATATTGCTAGTTTTAAAATATTAATAAGAATTTAAATTATATTATATTTTTGATTATAACATAATAATAATAAGAATGTATAATATAAAATAGTAAAAATAATACAGATTTCATATTTATTAACAAATAACAAAATGAATTTCAGATGCCAAGAATTAACTTAGAGAAAGGAAAATAGAGTGTGAAAGAATTAAAATTTAAAACTATGCTTTTTATGTTTTTTATGAACTAAATGTGATTGAATAGAATAAAACATACGTTAAAATACAAAATGAATTTTGTAGAGAACTTAACTTTAATTTAAAATTTATATATCATTAAAATTTATTTATAAATATTTTAACACAGTTTCATAACTTATTTCTCTCAAATAAAAAATATATTTCTGCTTCATCTTTACTTATCCATATATACTTGTTGATTTTGTTTTAATTTAGAAAAAAATAAGAAATTCACACATTTCCTTTCGAATTAAATCACAATTTTTTTACTTTTTCAAAATTTATAATATTCGTGTATTCATATTATTTTTGATATGATATTTCCAAAAATTATTCATTTGATTTTTTTAAAATTATTTTTAATCTTCTATCAAGATTAAAAAACACATATCTCTACCTTCTTCTTTTTAAATTATAAGATTCGAGTACTTTGTGTGCGTGTATGTTCAATCTGGCGATATTTCGTGATTTTTAGTTAAAAATCTATCAAATTAAAATTTTTGTAAAAATTATATTCTCTGAAATCTTGATCGATATGTTTTAAAAAACGCTTCGGTAAATATAGAAAATAATTGACAAATAAAATTCCTATTTATAATGATTTCCTACAATTTATTCACGTAGAACACCAGATTCAACACAGCACACAATTTTGCATGTCCTAGTGTTGTAAAATTGCATTATTCACCGAAGTGGTAACGTTAAAGGAAATTTTCGGTGATATGGTAGAAGATTCCGTCATGCCGGTAGTTAACGAACTAACGGTAGTATTAGACATCAAGCTAGATGTTGATAAAAAATTTGATAAAACAGTGACGGTAGTATTTACCTTCGATGTGACGTTTTCTGTCAATGTGAATAACGTGAAAAACGTAACATCTGTCAAACTGCTTGGTGTCGTACTGTTAAACGGTATTGATGTTAAACTTGGTGCTTTATAACATACATCTTTCGACTGAACTGGTAACTCGAAACGGGTATCCAATATGTATGCGAATAACGAGCCCACTGTCAAACCTGTAGTATATGACAAAGTCATGATATTCCCTGAAAAAATACAAAACGATTATAAGAAATTAGTTATTATAGATAAATTAGAATTGATAATAATAAAAAAAAGAATTGACATACAGTTATACAGTACCTGCTAATTCCCGATGTCCTTCTGGTACTTTAGTAGGTGCCTGCATCATTGGAATCGAACCAACTATACCATTCGTAACACCAAGCAAACAAGAAAGTAACAATGGATATCCTTCATTAGCAAGTATTGGAGTTCTTCTAGGTAACGCACAAAGTAAAAATAAAGGAATCAATACAACACGAACACTCGAGAATAATAATAACTGAGTGCGTTTCCAATCGTATGGAATCATTGCAAGCATCTAAAATGTCGAATAATAAAATACTTATACATACGTATATAAAATATATGTATATAAAAAAAATATATTGTATTAAAATTATATATACCTTGCCAATTACATCAGAGGCATTGAAAGCAGTCATCAAAATTACTGGCATCCATGATCCAAGTTTACAAGAAATAATTTCCGACATAATTCCAGGGTATAAACAAAGTGTTACAAAATATGCTAATCCAATACTTCCCATGTATGGAAATATTATTTTTGCCACTTCGAATCTCGCAAGTAAACCCTCTTAAAAAGTTTCATTGTGTTATTATTTATTCTTGAAGAGAAATATTTATATATAAAATGAATAAATATCGTACTTTTGATTTCAGGCCACGGTTTACTGGCTTGAGTTCCATATGTACCCCTCATAACAACTACATCTTCGACTTTATATGTAGGACCAGCACTGCCGGGAGGATTTCCTGACGGTGCGCCAGGTTCGTATACAGGATTACTGAATGAAAACGGTGAATATTGATTTATCCCTGAAAATAAAAGAAAAAAATATCGATTTACTCTACGATATCATAAATAAATATTTTTATTTAAACATATTAGAAAACATATTGTGATTTACCATTTAACTCGGTATTCCCGCTCGTGGATTCATTTCCTAGAGGACTAGTTTGGATCTTTAGAACACCATACTGACCTTTCGAAGGATCTCCAATCTGATCCAATGGATCCATCTATTTGAAAATAGTAAGATCAATAAAATTCTTCAATTAAAAATTAATGATAATTCATCATACATACTAAACCAACATCTTCCGTTGGTTCTAATGTAATACGATTTCTTTCTTGACACAACGTAATGTAAAACTGCACGAAATCAGTCTTGCGAACTTTTTGATTTAATACGAAACACATTAGGATCGTGCTATTCGATACAAAAAAAAACATAGATGTATTGCTGCGTTCATCATCCAGCAATGATTTGGTTAATAATCGATTGATAGAGACCCAAAGACCGGCAATGCCTATAGAAAAATGCATTATTCGTTCATCCCTTGATATTTCATTGGTTTATTATTTTTTTAAAAGAAATTATTTAATTATTTTTATTTCTCACTTTCTCCAATCATCACAGCTTGTGTGTATCGACTGGGAAGCATAGAAGTATACCCATAAAAGCTTGATTGTTGGACTGATTAAAAAATTTACAAAATTTATTATAAGATACAGACATTCATGGAATTCATGACAAAAAGTATTTTTTTACCGGTGCAGCCGAGCGATACTATCGCAACGATGACTAAATTAATCGTGTAAGAAGTAGCCACGTCAAAAGGCTCCCACCAGATCTCAGATATCACAACAAAACTTAGAGTAGCAAAGGCTACCAGATATCCTGAAATTTATTTTTTTAATATATTAAAAAATATTTTAATACAAAGTGATATATATTAATTAAAAGTTTGGAATAATTATACAAAATACATATTATATATGTATTGAAATTCAAAAATTCAAAAAGAAAATATTATAAATTTATAATCTTATAATCAATTTAGAAAACGATTGTTAAAATGATCCCAAATTTTTGCATTTATTAACTCTTACCGAAAGTTATTCGTGTATTTAAAGATAACGTTTCGATCAAAATATTATTTGCAAAAACCGCGAAAAAGGCCATAATAATATAGACGACTGACATATCGAATATTACAGTAGTTCCGGGATATCTTGCTTGAAAAAAGTCCACTGCTATGATAAAACTGCAAAAAGCAAAACATCTTCGTTATATAATAACAATTATTTATAAACAATAAATTTATTTAAATAACGTAATAATTTTAATTAACAATATATTATTAAATATAGCCATAAGTTCAATAAGTTCAAAACTGCCCATTAATCTTATCAGATTAATGGCCGATTTTCAACGAAAATGAAATCTAGATTCATGGATAAAATACATCAAGATACGAAATAAAAATGATTTCTGCATTTTAATATTAGCATGCATAAGCATATAAATTTGTAAATTTGATTCTAATTTCAAAAAATATAAATTGAAGAATATAAATTATAGTCACAGAGGTCTTTGACATTCAATTGTCGATACATAGAGAAAGTGATTGCGGCATGACCTGTTGTATGGTAAGAGAAATCCTATACCGCCAAGTATAAGGGCAAAGTAAATGAAGTTGCATTTGTCGACTGGAGGAGACAAATGCGTGAATCCATTGGAGAATTTAAATTCATTCATGCCCCTCGCTTTTCCTAACTGCACATAGCCTCGACTCAAATTTTCATCCATGTCTATGGTGACGCGTATTACGAATAAAAGAATCAATTAATCGTTGATCGTCTTATGATTCCATTATTTCGAAAAAGTTTCAATTGGCAGTTTTTACTTAAAAAGATGGATTAGTTCTGCTGTTTCCACGCACTTTCTATCAATCGGTCAATTGCACCTGATCACTACCTTATTTATTTCTTTCCGCGTAATACATACGTGATTGTCTTCATACACTAGCGCATGCTTTGAAATTTTGCGGCATTGATTTCTGCGTGCGCACCGCATCTTTTCTTTCTAATATACCGCGATATTTGAATACAAAAAATTGTATTTTTGTATTTTTTATTAACATTTTAATATTTTGGTTATTTCATGAAAAAATTTCAATAATATTTTTTATAATATTAATTTCGAGAATCAATGTAAAATTACAATTGAATATTTTCATTGTATTTTATAGCATTAGTATTATATTAATTTATTAATTATATTTTTATTTGCATATAGTATATATATAGTATATATATATATATATATATATATATATATATATATAT